ACGCTCAACTGCTGAGCCAAACTGGCCAGGGCAGAGATCGTTCTTTATACACAATTTTTAATCCTGAATTTTCTGACCAAACATTCTACTATCAGCATTTAAGCTCATCATTCAAGCCTCTTAATAAATATCAGCATCAATAGCTGAGTAATATTTCATAGAGCTGTATTATAAATAACGTGCTAACCAGCTTTGTAAGCAAAAAATTAAAAACCAGTAAGGCTTGTTTTTCAATCTGGTTTATTCCTGGTCTTAGTATCTTACGAGTTTTGAATTTGGAAATATGGTCTTTGAAATATGGGCTTCTTTATCTTCAGTTGGTAAAGATAGCCCTGCTTAAGTACAGAGAGTCACTCATGATTTCAAAATAGGGCTTGGATGACAGCAGAATGAGGCTGAGCAGCTGGACCTGCTTGCAGCGGGGGACTGAGCCAAGCAGGTGTCAGGGTCTTGGATTCGTGCCCAGAGGGAGAGGACTCCAGTGCAGCAAGAGGTCAGCAGCAAGGCCAAGAGCTCCAGCCTGGAGCCAAGGCGGGGCACAGCCCCCCAGGTGTCAGTGGTTACCTGGAGTCAGGAATGAGCTTGAGGGGGAAGGGAAGAGAGGTCCAGAACCTGACAGGGATCCAAGTTGTAAGAAATCATCAGCTTTCCCAACTCATGACAGGATTTTAGGTAGGTAGATCAAAACAAAGCACCAACAATAGGAACCCAGAAGTGAGCCTGGCCCTGGGGCAAGGTCAGTTTGCTATCCGTGACCAAAAGAGAACCACCTGTGCCAGCAGCTGGGCACCACCGATAATCCCTGCACCTGCACCAGGGTTCAGGAATTAACGTTACAGGGCGTTACCAATCCAATGTCTTGTTTTGAGAGATATTATTTTAAATAAGTAATTGTAAAACTAGTAACAAATGAAAACACTGTTTACAATTTTTTTTTTTTTTTTTTATCCTCACCCGAGGACATTTTTTTTTTTTTTTTTGATATTTGGTTCAGATAGAGTGAGAGGGAGAGAGAGAGAGAGAAACATCGATGTGAAAGCGACACATCGAGTGGTTGCCACCCACACGACCCAACCAGGGCTGGGGACAAACTGCAACCAAGGTACATGCCCTTAGCGGCAACCGAACCCGGGTCTCTCCGGACCGCAGGCCGACGCTCTAACCGCTGAGCCAAACCGGCCAGGGCTACAATTTTTTTTAAAAGAAGGAGATTGACCACGAGGGGTTTCTCTTTCACATCCAGAACAGCGGTTTTCAACCTTTCTCATCCCACAGCACAACTACTTACTAAAATTCTGCAGCACACCAAAGAATATATTCTATTTTTTGCCGATCTGACAAAAATAGGTATAATTTTGATTCGTTCACACTGGACTGCTATTGTTGTGTTGCCTGTTGTCATTTTTTATTTGACAGTCTAAGGGAAAAGAGGTCAGTGCCCCTGACTAAACAGTCAGGTATCGCACGTTTGAAAAATTCTCGCAGCACACCGGTTGAACATCACTCATCTAGACAACGGAGCCATGAACTTCTACCCATGTTCATAATCTCTACCCCATCTGCTTCCCAGCACACCCGCGGTTTTGACACTGATGACTAATCCCTCTGTGCCATCCCATTTCTTCATCCAACCCTCAAAGCACCTGAGGAGACCCAGCTTACAGAAATGATGGTTGAGAAAACGCTGCCACTATCCCTGGGGATTAGCACACAGCTATTCAAGGTCCTGTGGAAACAAGAAAGAACAAGACGTGCGATCCGCACGCTCTCCCATTACAACCGGGGAGGGAAAACCTCTGCAAAGTAAACAAGTGTAATTAAAACGGAGTGAGAAGACAGTGAGAGTGAAAAGTCGTGCTTCTCTCACAGTTTGCTTTCCGGTGCTCCCTTGCCTGCCAGGGGAAACAGTCTGGTTTCTCGTGATGAATTGCCCTGGGAAAGACAACGCCACCTCCATGTCTGCTCAGAGAACTGGCTCTGCGAGGCCTGCTTCTTCTCTGTGACACGAGGAGTCGGGGAAATGTGGAAACTCAGAGCGTCGTGAGGGCTGTGGGAGGGGAGAGGACATACTAGAGGGAAGGGGAGCAAATCCGGTTCTCTGTCCGCAGGCCGTTGCTCTAACCGCTGAGCCAAACTGGCCAGGGCAAATTTTTTTTTTTTTTTTTTTTTTGGTACGTGCCCCTAGAGGGAACCGAACCAAGGACTGTCTGGTTCACAGGCCAATGCTCCAAACACTGAGCCAAACCGGCCAGGGCAATCCGGTTCTCTTTTCTGTTCTTGTTTGAAGTTTGTGTTTGTTTTAACCATAGGCAAAAAGAAATCGATTTGAGATTGTAACGATGCAGGATGGCCTGATTTATCTTTTCTCAAAATATTTTCTCTGTGAAGATGTCAAATACTGGCTGCTAACTTTTTTCGCCTTAAAACCAAATACCAGCTACTACTCTCTTTTTTTTTTTTTCAAGGATATCTTGTACCGTGTGATCTAGAGTGCATTCAAATGTCTTATCTGCAATGGGAATAGCAAGGCCATACAAATACTACTAATAAAACACAAATGGAAGCCTTTATCCAGACACCATCACTAGCTTGATGGGGAGACAGGTGTCACTAGCTCCCTGGACATTTGATCCACTCTGGGACAGGTATGGTGTGGTGTGAGGTGAATTATCTGGTTCTGCGGCTGACAGGCAGTTTCAAGTCTGCTGAAAATGAGCAGGTGGTACAGTGGAAGGGGTCTCAACATTTACTTTTATTTTGCGAATGAGCCAGCTAATGCCCAGAGAAACAAGGTCCTATCAAAGAGCAGGTGGGTTGCAGAGTTGAGATCAAATGTCAGATCTCCCGCCTTGTGACCCAAGGCCAGGCCTTTCTAGAGAGGACCTGAAGCGCCCTCTCTCCTCTTGATTCCTTTGAAACAAACCTGATCCAAATCTGGATGTACCAGCCCAGGGCTGTCTGGCTTCAGAGGGAGCCAGGCCAGACCCGAGCCTCTGGGGAGGAAGGCCCTGGTGGGTTCAGTGCCTGGGCAGATCGGGCTAGCTAAGTCGTCACGGGATCATCCCGCATTTCAGTTTTCGGGGGTCAACAGCACCAACTCCCCTCGAAAGTAGTAAACATGAAATGCTGGGTCGTAAGCATAACACTAGCAGTCCCAAGAATCGTTGTCAGGTTTATTGATGGAACCAGACTGTTCATTTGAGAGACAGGGCTCGGGAAGACCCTGGCCCAGTCTCACAGCTTTGTGTCAGGGTGTGACCCAAAGAAGGGAAGACAAGGGGGCCTGCGTGGTAGCCGGAGGTGGAGGCGAAGGGCAGTGTGCCTGAGAGCCAGACTGGCAGCATGCAGCCGGGGTGCACTAGTGAGGGGGCCTTCAGAAGGAAAAGGGGCCGATGCTTTGGTAGTCCCTGCTCAATACCTCCTGTTGTTCATCAGGCCCAGAGCTGCAACATGTTCTACAAGTTCAAACATATTTTCCCAGCAAATGAGGTGCATCCTACAGTACAAAATCCAAATCCAAAAGCAGTAACAAAACACATCGAAGTGTTTTTATCTGTTTTCTTTCTGAGGATCAGCAAGGCTGTGTGTTCCCCTAGAGAGTGTTAGCTATTCTGATCTTTTGCTAAGGTTTAACTAAGGGTTAAGAGATAACTGATGTATTATTCGTGTCTAAAGAGAATTGCCTTCCTGTGAAAATTAAGGAGTCATCATTTAAAAGCATTTTGTTGAAATAGGATACATCAACTCTCTTCCAAAGGTATAATTCAGTGAGTAAAAGAATAGTTCTCCACTGGGTTAAAAAAAAAACAAAACAAAAAAAAACAGAAATAATCTTTAGAGATTACTTAACCTAACCACCTTATTTTTTTTTTTTTTTTTAAATAGGAATATTCAGCCTAAACTATTTCTGCAAAAAGTATATTAGAATTGTTTGGTAAAACTCTAAAACATACTCTTCAGAACTTAAAGATAGATGAAGATCTTATTTTAAAGCCATGAATATAGCCATGATAATTAAATATGTATCACTAGAAAATTTAATTCCTTTTATTATTCTGAATTACCAAAGTAGTGTTTATAAAATTACAAGAAAATATATCATCTCTAATTCATGAGCCTAATATGATTATTCAAGAAATATTTTTGTACAGTACGTCTGTCATTTTGTCTTATGAGAATGAAAATGAGTGTTTCAAATATTTTAAAAACATATACATACATACCTATGTATATATATGACTATTTTATGTATCATTTTAAAATTAAATACTTTTAGTGGATCCACATGAGAAATTTTAAAGATGGTTTCAATAATTTTATCTTCACTGTCCTTTGTTAATTACTCAAAAATTGGAAAATAAAGATGACTTCTGCTTTTATAATTCTTAAATGTTTTCTCAGTATATTTCAAAGGCAGGAAGACATAAACTTGGGAGCAGTGTTTAATGCACTGTATCCCAAAATAAATATTTAGATATCTTCATAGAGTAAATTAATTAATTAAAGTTATAAAGTAGAATTTAGCAGGGATTTATATAAAATCTTGTATTTGAGTTTTTAAAAAGTTGCATCACTTAAGATTTTTAGCTTAGACAAGAAGACTTAGGGAGGATAAAATAGCTACTTTTAAATACTTAACGCATATTTCGAGAGGGAAGAATTAGGATTGTTCCAGAAGTTAGAACTAGGAGAACAGTGGGGGGTAAATATTGGTCATAATGAGAAATATTTTTTTCAATACGTTTTTATTGATTTTTTTTACAGAGAGAAGGAATGAGAGGGAGAGAGAGATAGAAACATGAATGAGAGAGAACATCGATCGGCCACCTCCTACACGCTCCCCACTGGGGACATGGCACACAACCTGGGCATGTGTCCTGACCAGGAATTGAATCAGGGACGTCTTGGTGCATGGGTTGACATTCAACCGCTGAGCCACACCAGCCAGACTGTTTGAATTCCTTTTTTTTTAATCCTCACCCGAGGATACTTTATTCCCATTTATCTTCAGATACTGTGGGAGGGAAGAGGGGAGGAGGGGAGGAGAGAGAGAGAGAGAGAGAGAGAGAGAGAGAGAGAGAGAGAGAGAGAGAGAAACATCAATATGAGAGAGACACATCGCCTGGCAGCCTTCTGCACGACCCCAACCAGGGCTGAAGACGAACCGCAACCAAGGTACATGCCCTTGACCAGAATCGAACCCAAGACTCTTTGGTCTGCGGGCTGAAGTTCTAACTGCTAAGCCAAACCAGCCAGGGCTGAATACAGCAGAAAAATGTAATACAGGTTTACTAATAAATACATGCATATATACTACTCGAAGTATAAATATAGAAAAAATTACGTAAAATAAGAAAAAATACAACGTAGTGAAGTTCTAGAACCCTTCCATCTAGATTCTAAAGCATTCTGAGAGCATCACCATGTATTTGTATATTATGCAAAACAAGTAAGCAAAATAGAACTTTTGTTGTGTATTCAACTGCTCTCTTTTTCACCTAATGTTACAATGATTATATATACTTATTTTATTTAAAAACCATTCTTTCTTGTTCCTTGAGTTCTTTATCCTATGGCAGTGACTTTTAACCCTTCTCATCTCATTCTTTGGCACACCAAAATATATATATTTTTTGTCCATGTGACAAAAAAAATAGTTATAATTTTAATTCATTCATACTGGATGGCTATTGTTGTGTTGGCTATTGTCATTTTTTTAAAATTTGACAATCTAAGGGAAAAGAGGTCAATGCCTGTGACTACATAGTCAGGTAATGTAGGTTTTAAAAATTATTTCGGCACACCAGTTGGAAATCGCAGCCCTGTGTTATTTGGGTCCTTCCCATTTGCCACCACTTCAAATGCGTGTGTCCATCCTATTTGAATGCATTGTTTAAAATTATAGAGGGAAGATTTTGTAAATTTCTTAAAGTGACATTTAAGAAAATCTTCAACGTTGCATAAGTCATATCCTATCTAATGTCCTATTTTCAGTCTTTTTTTTTTTTTCAGAGCAGACAAATTCCCCAGAGTTATGCAGCGTTCCAGAGCATCCTCGTTTTTATTCAATTATTTTGGAGGATGAAAAGCTTTTTCATAGCACCCCCACAAAATCTGTTCCACCAAGCACCACGCAGTCACACAGAGCATTGAGCCCAACACAATGCCCGTGATTGTGACTTTCCTCCTCAGCTTCGTGGCTCTCCATTCTTCAGGCCTGCACTTTGTACACATTATCTCTTCTAAAGGCAGGTTTAACACTAACATACCCGGAAACCACACGCGTCCTCCTGTACCCGTATCGCAGAGTTGGGAGGGTTATTCCTTCAGCAGCAGTGGAACTGGGGAAGACAGAAGATGAAGTCTTCTTTAATACCATATGAACTGGTTGTTGTGAGATGATGGGGGGAGGGGCATATCAGCATATCACCATCCCAAAGCCAAAGCCATCCATTTTGATAACTACCTCTCAAAATATAACTGGCTTAAACTTACTACCCATTCAGCAAGTGATTTCATTCAGAGACCTACCTCCTTATATACCTTTGGCAAACAACTTTATCCAGAAGGCACTGCTCAAAGTTAGACTTCTATGGGTGCTTATGGAGAATTGTTTCTTGTGTTTGTTTTTGTGTTTTTAGTGAAACCTGTTTTTAAATGTTCCCCATAATGTTACTTCAGCTGCATTCCATGGCATGAAACATTTGGCCTTTGATCATCAATGTGTCCCATTGTTGACTATGATACCCTCAGTCAACCTATCACATCTGTCTAAAGTGAGATGACAGCCTCCCAGGCAGGTCTGACTGCCTATGTGTCACGTGAATACAAGCCCAGTTTCTCTCTCATAGATCCTATGAATCCTCTTACTGACCATGGCTCATCACTACCAAAAAGCGCAGAACCACATTTAGGGCCCACCTCTAGCAAGTATGTAGGACTTCAAAGTATGTGCACCAATCTCATGAGTGGCCTTGTATTATTTCCACTTATTTTGTTTTTAACTTCTTTTTTTTCCCCCCACATATGTCTTTGTTACAGTTCTCTCTTGGGTATTTTATACATTTTGTAAGTTGCCTAAAATTCTTTCCAAAGGTGTAAGTCAATAGGTAATTTTAAATTAATTTATCTTTCCATATTGAGTAGAAAGGATTCTAACTGATCTCACCTTGAAGAACTATTCTTATTCATGGGCATTTATTTCAGAGTTATAATGGCTGCTGCTTTCTAGGGACTGACAATACTTAATGTTCTGCTCCTGGTGCCTACACCATCCCTGACTTTTTGTAGAAGGAAGATTGAAAGGTGATTAGAAAGAAAATAGAGTATTAGACATATAAAATTGAACTCATTTAAAAATAAAGAATATAGAAAATAAAGAAAAGAAATATAAAAAAGGAAAAGAAAAGAGAATATTAGACATACAAGCTCAGACTTATTTGAGTTTATTCATAAATATGTCATGTATATTTAAAACACTCTTTCACTGAGGTAGGATTCTTATTCTGTCAAATTGCTAAAATTCTTATATAAATTGAAAGGAACTAAAGACTAAATGGACTTGACACTTTACTTGACAATATCTAGTAAATAAATTAAAATCTTGGCCCTGGCCAAGTAGCTCAGTTGGTTAGAGTGTCGTCCCGATACATCAAGGTTGCAGATTCAATCTCTGGTGAGGACACATGTAAGAATCAACCAATGAATGCATAAATAAGTTTTAAAAAATTGATGTTTTTCTCTCTCTCTCCCTTCCTCTCTAAAAAATCGATAAATTCAAAATTTTTTAAATTAAATTATCTTAAACACACAAAGAAAAGTAGGTTATATCCTATATAAAATTTAATATTAAATCATTTCCTCCTTTAATTGTCTGGACTTTTTAGAATATTATTTTGATTGGTGGGTGGTTTAAGAGTTTGGATTTGTGTTTGCTTAGAAAGTGACTGAGATGTTTAGTAGAGGAAGAGGGGAGAATAACCAACTGGTCATTACTACTTAGTGGTAGAATAGAGAATAGTGAAGAGCCCAGCTGCTGTGGCTCAGTGGTTGAGCGTTGACTCATGCATGAAGAGGTTGCCAGCTCGATTCCCGGTCAGGGCGCATGCCCAGGTTGTGGGCCTAAACCCCAGTGGGGGACATGCAGGAGGTAGCTGATAAATGTTCTCTCTCATCAATGTTTCTACCTCTCCCTCTCCCTTCCTCTCTCTCTAAAACCAATAAAGGAAAAATAATTTAAAACAAAAAAAATGGTGAAGAGTTCATTAAGATCAAACATGTTGATTATAGAAAAAGAATGCTGTTGTCCAGCCGGTGTGGCTCAGTGGTTGAGCACTGACCCATTTACCAAGAGGTTGCTGGTTCGATTCCCGGTCAGGACAAATGCCCAGGTTGTGGGCCTGATCCCCAATGGGGGCATGCAGGAGGAAGCCAGTTGATGTTCTCTCTCATCAGTGTTTCTATCTCTCTCTCCCTTCCTCTCTCTCTAAAATGAATAAAGAAAAAAACAATTTTTTTAAAGAAAAAGAATGCTGTTGTAAGATAACTGCTACTAAAATTATCATTGAAGAGAATGTTGTATAACCAGATCAACAGAATAGTATTGTTGAATATTATCTATAATTTTTATAATATATAACATATATTTTTGATATAGTAGGCAGTTAGACAGACATGAGCAGAGCAGGAATGATAGGCCAGGGTGGAAAGCCCCGGGTACCTAGCAATGAACAAAACTGCAAACATGAGTATAGTAGGGTGGCACCTTATCCCCAGGGTGACCTTTCTTTCCCTAGCATATCACTGGTCATAGGGTTTAGACTCCCTGACTTTTCATATCACTGGTCACACAGTTTAGATATGTCCCTGACCATTCCCTCCCTGGCATGTTGCTAGTCAAGTGGTAGACACTTTTAGAGGAAGAACAAGGAGGGTGGAGAAAAGCCTCCTATAATTCCATATAAACCTTCAAACAACTTCTTCCTTAAGCTTTAAGCCTGAAAGACAATGAGGTTCTGACTCACATCAAATAATCTTAGGAACAAAGCCTTGGGTCTGTTGACCACAGAGACAGAGTTTTTGTCAAACTAGAGATGACATTTAGGACTTAGTGGTGTTTCAGTTCCAGCCCCCAAAAAGCAGCAAGGCCAGGCAGGGCAACATCATGGCTGAAATCAGGACCAGCTGTGATGATTAATGGTGCCCTGCCCTGGCACTGCCCAATCAGTAGAGACCACAACCCTGAGAAGACACACCTGGAAATCTGATGAATATTCATTCTATTGAGATCCTCCCCTGAGACCTCCAGACAAAGGACCCAATGCATCTCTCTCCCTCTCTCTCTCCCCTCCTCCCTACTTTCCTCTCTCTCTTTCTCTCTCCCTCTCTCTCTCCCATGACTGAACCTTTCCCCTCTTCTTCCCCAGGTGCATTTTCTTTTTCTTTTTTAATTCTCACAGAGGATATCTTTCCACTGATTTTTAGATAGAGTGGGAAAGAGGTAGGAAGGGAGGGAGAGAGAGAGAAATATCGATGTGAGAGAGACACATTGATTGGTTGTTTCCAGCGCAGGGCCAAGGATCAAACTTGCAACCAAGGTGTGAGCCCTTGACCAGGGAATCAAACCCACCACTCTTTGGGCTGAGGGCCAATGCTCTAACCACTTAGCAAAACCAGTCAGGGCTTCTTTGCCTTTCTTTTTCCTAAGCTCCAATGGCCCTCCTTTTGCCTCTGTGACTTGTTACCTGAGCCCACGCAGCTCAGTTGGCTCACTTCTTCCATGACTCACTTCTACCTCTGTGACTTTCTAAGTAAAATCGGCTTGCCGTTGAGTCTTTCTTAGCCAACACTCAAGTACCAAAGTTTTACATTGGGTGCCATTCACCACTAACATTTCCATGCACATATATAATCTTTATAATGTCCTTACTTGCATTGATAAGTGGACTGCAAATGAAATAAACAGGGTGAGAGTTTGATGGAGAATAAAAACTCAGGAGATTCCAAAATTGCGGCAGAGTGAATGGAAGCTACACAGATCATCTCCCAGGACCAAACTGACATTATAACTAAAATCAAGACAAATCATCATGTAAAACCAACAGGAAACAGCTAGAGAGGACCTGTATGACCACCAACAGAAAGAGGACACTAAATGAGCCTGGTAGGAACTGTGGAGGCATGAGAGGGTGGGCTAGGAGCCCACGGACAACAGCTGTTTTAGCTGTGAGCAGCTCCCTAGGGATTAAGATCCCAAGCTGGTTCCACAGTGCAGAGGGCTGGGACAGAGCACTAAATTAACTACAGCCACTCACCTTGGGCTCCAGCAGAGGGAGGACAGACTGGACTGAAACTGTGGGGAGAGACTCAGGATTTGGAGGGCACTGGGAGTTTTGTGCTGAGTCACTCCCTCATAGGACAGTAGCCATCTTACTCAAAGAGCACCTTCCCAGAGCCCCTGAGAGAAGCAAGAGACCCTCCCTCGGGAATTTAAAACCATCTGGCCAGACCAGAGAAATGCAAATTCAGGCTCATTAACAGCCAGCACGAGTCTGTCCCACCCACTGAAAATCCTCTTACCCTAAACACCAGAAGAATTTTTTTTATTTAGTTGAGGACTACAAACCAAGGCTCATCAAGCAACTGAGACTAATAGCCTCCAAGCAAAAAGCTAGAAGATAACTGAACCTTTCCTGGCTTTCAAATCTACCCAGAAAAGAAACACTTGACAGTGGTGTTTAACTTGGGTCTTCCCACACTCATCCAAACCCAGTAGAAAGAGCCAAAATCAGTGGAACAGCAACACCCACAGGAAAAATTTGGCAGGCTCCAACACCCACTGAGACAGCCAAAATGGTGAAACAAAAAAAACATTCCAAATGAAAGAACAAGGTAATTCGACAGAAGATGAAATAACTGAAAGGGAACTGAGCAAGATATCAGAGGGAGAGTTCAGAGTAATAATCATGAGGAAACTCAACAGCATGAGTAAAGATATAGAAGCATTGACACAGCAGAAATAAAGAGCACATCAGAAGAAATAACCAGCAGAGTAGAGTAGGCCAAGGATTGGATCAGTGAATTAGAAGACAGGGTAGAAAAAAATCACCCAGAGAACCAAAAAGAAAAAACAATTAAAAAACAGAAAGCCAGCCTGAGAGAAGTGTGGGACAATATAAAACATAACAACATCTGCATCATAGGAGTTCCAGAAGAAGAAGAAAATGAGCAAGGGTTAGAGAATATATTTGAAGAAATAGTGACAGAAAACTTCCCTAACTTGGTGAAGGAAAGAGGTATACAAGTATAAGAAGCACAGAGAACCCCATATAAGAAGAACCCA